AATAATTTTGCATTACCTCACAATAATTTTGCATTAACTCGCAATAATTTTGCATTACCTCACAATAATTTTGCATTAACTCGCAATAATTTTGCATTACCTCGCAATAATTTTGCATTACCTCGCTATAATTTTGCATTACCTCGCAATAATTTTGCATTACCTCGCTATAATTTTGCATTACCTCGCAATAATTTTGCATTACCTCGCTATAATTTTGTATTACCTCGCAATAATTTTGTATTACCTCGCAATAATTTTGTATTACCTTGCAATAATTTTGTATTACCTCGCAATAAGTTTTGCACTACCTCACAACAGTTTTGTATTATCTTGCAACAATGTTTACATTCCCATGGAAAAGTTTAATGTTTTGTATTAACTGTGTGCTACTTTTATCTTGAAATTTATGGTTACCAAAACAGGATGTGTCAACACAAGTTTGGGAAACTGACAGTGATTTGTGTTTCTGCATTAAAATATCTGCATATTAGCTACATTTAGCTCCATGTGGCTGTGATATGTTCATTCTGAGGCTTAATTAAAGTAGTAGGCTAACTCTTGTTTAAGGGGAAGTATGTAAAGTTGTCAATAAACTACCAGGCACAAAAGTAATAAATGACTATTGCGACAGAATGCAAAAAGTAATGCGAGGTAATGAAATAGACCATTTCATAGGTCTGTTTCACAGGTGAACAGGGTAAAAGCTGAGGTTGAGAATGCCATTGGAATTGTGCAAATTCAACAAGCTCAAAAAGCCTGTTTACAGTATAGCTTAGATATTTATGAAAAATCTAATCTAATCTAAAATTTTCTTTAGGATTGTGGATGACCACAATCCTAAAGAAAATTTTAACACAAATCAGTTTAGAACAAATGTATCAGGTCTGTATAACAGTGTAAATTTACCTGTAGAATTCGTGCAATTACAATGGCCATGTTTCCCAATAAAAGTGTGATGTCGGCCTGCTTCACGCYTTTCGGTTGGGCTTGGGGCTTGTGAATCCTCTACTCTTCCATTCTCATATGGGGTTCCACAGGGTTCGGTACTGGGTCCTCTGCTTTTCTCCTTGTATATGCTTCCTCTTGGGTCGATCCTCAGAAAACATGGTGTCGCTTTTCATTGTTATGCTGATGACAGCCAGATATATGTCTCTTTGAAGAAAAGTGATGCTTGTTCTTTTAAAATCTTGCTGTCCTGTCTTGATAATATTAAAGCTTGGTTGACCCTGAACTTTTTGAGTTTTAATGAGAAGAAAACGGAGGTGATCATGTTTGCCCGTAGGGGCTCCTGTGTGTTCCCCCCTGTTGATTTGGGTCCCTTGGCAGCCTATGCAAAGTCTACTGTCACTAATTTGGGMTTTAAGATGGACAGCCAAGTTAGTGCTGTAGTGAAGTCAAGCTTTTTGCACCTCAGACAGCTTGCAAAGGTGAAGCCTTTTCTTTCGCACCAGCACTTTGAAACAGTAATCCATGCCTTCATCACATCTCGGCTGGATTACTGTAATGCACTTTATGTTGGAGTTAGCCTGTCCTCCGTTGCACGGCTCCAGTTGGTTCAGAATTCTGCTGCTCATTTGCTGACTGGCACACGTAAAAGGGAGCATATCACACCCATTCTGGCTTCCCTCTCCTGGCTGCCTGTGCATTTTAGAGTTCGTTTTAAGATTCTTTTATTTGTTTTTAAATCTTTAAATGGCCTTGCCCCATTTTACCTCTCTGAGCTTCTCCACCCCTATGCTCCTGCACGGTATCTCCGGTCAGCCCATCAGTTGCACCTTAAAATACCCAGGACAAAACGAAACCTCAGAGGGGATCGAGCATTTTCAGTTGCTGCTCCGAAGCTCTGGAATGAACTACCCCATGTCAGACAGGCCTCCTCATTGCCTGCTTTTAAAACTAATCTTAAAACTTATTTTTATTCACTGGCTTTTAACACAGTTTGAGACCTTGGTCTGTTTTAGCTGTTTTTTTTTTTTTTGCTTGTTTTTAATGTTTGAGTGTTTTTAATGTTAATTTGTTTTATTGTTTTCAGCTCCTCATGTACAGCACTTTGTGTCAGCGGCCGCTGTTTTAAAGCGCTTTATAAATAAAGCTGATATGATTTGTGATTTCTAACTACTTAATTGTGTACACAGTAATGCATGGGAATGCAACCCCCCCATGTTCCCTCGTGGGCTCCACAGGTTTGAAAGAACCACTTCGGTTTTACATGACACTGTTTGTTTAGTCGCTGTTTTCTGGACTGAATGTCATCCCTGTTTCCAAACACATACTGTATGGGAAAAAAACAGTGGCCAACTCGGACAACAAGAAGTTATGTTTATTGAACTATATAAAACACATTTAATGTAATTATATCAATGTTATGAATTGTGGCGTATTATGATCCATACAAATAATCAATAAATTATTAAAATGGAAAAAAAAAGAAAAATTTCCAACGAAGTAAGCCAAAAATATTGATCCTGGACACCAAATGTATCTCCAATTATAGAATCACCCACGTATGTTTCTTTAGCATAGGCTATCAGTCCTGAACCCTTAGCTTAGCCTGAAAGATTTTAACAGAACACTTTGAAAACGACCAAARTATCCCATTAACAGTCATCATTCGTGTATTCCTTATTTTCTGTAAAAGAAGGGTTTCATCCTGTGAAGTTAAATGATGATCTTTGACACCGGAAATTTTTTTTTCCTCTTTGACATCATCAGCCCCAGGCAGCGTGAGGCTCAGGTGTGCTGTTCCCTGCACAGATGTGCTCATTCTTTCAGGACAGCAGCAGAGGCAGGTAGGTCCATTTTCCCTCCAACACCTCACGTCTTTGTGTTCATCTGGTTTTCACAACTCAATTCTACCTGGAAACAGAACCAGCGTGTGATTTGGACACTAAAGAAGGTAAAGACCTCTGTGTTTTCAGACAAGATGTGCTGCTCAGTTAAAAACTCACTGAGATGCTTTTAAACAAAAACGTCAGGCTGTYGAGCTGAAATACTTTAATTTTACTGTAACAAGTGTTTCACAAACTGCAGCTGCAGGCAGAACAAAACAATTATTTCAAACGACGACTGAAAACAGAAGATTAAAAAATGTTCTAAAATTAACACATTTGTTTTAGTTTGTTGTGTTCAATTAGGAAAACTTGTTCATTTAAAATGGTTAGATGTCTTACATTTAATATTTATTGGTGGATTAAAGGATGCTACAAATCAAATAATTAATCTRTCCGGCTACCTGAAAAATTAAAAGCCTGGTATTCTCAAATGAATGCATATCACCTGCCACTCATCAAAACCGACAGGATTTTTTTTGTAACTTTTAGTCAGCCATTTTAAATTATATTGACTCTAACGAACGATAGCAGATCCAACAGCCGGTTTGGACATTATCAGTCCATTAAATGGACGTTATTAGTGGTTATCAGTCCCATAGAATGGCTTCAGACTGGCCCGACAGTGCCCCCTAGTGGGTTACCAGTGCCATATATGTTGGAATGCAACAATCTGGTACCGCCGGAGTCCGGTCTACTTTATCGTAGCCCGTGTCATATTCTCTAAAATTAACCTTATTGGCTTAATGCCTCATATTAACCAGATTGTATAAAAAATCTTAGTGACTTTAGTTCTAACCAGCTGACAGTCTGAAGCCATTCTATGGACGCGGAGAACCGACTAGGCGGCACAGTTAGGACAGTCTGAAGCCATTCTATGGGACTGATAACGGCTAATAACGTCTATTTAGTGGTTGATAACATCCGAAGTGGGTGGACAGCCAGTCCAAAGCATTTACTTTTGTTAGCAAAATAAAACACCAAACTGGCTTCAYCTCAGTCAATCTGAAAGATCGTGGCTTTAGAACCGGTTGCATTGCTACAGGTTGTTGTTTGTGACACATATGACCAAGAAATGTGGTTTTCTGCTCTGCAGTTAGCCTGGTAAAAACCAGACCCTTGTCTTTCACTTTGCTTCGTACTAGGGTCTGGACTCWCTGCTATTGAGAAGCGATTCRTGCTGGAGGCGTGGCCTCTGCTGAAGCGRGTGTGTGTATGTCGCTGTGAAGGAGGCTAAGCTAAGAAGCTAACCYGAAATCGCGTGCGCTGTAAACAACCCTACTGAGAGGAGAGGAGCCGAACGAGACGACGGTAAATGAGAGCTGCTGCTTTGTCAGACAAATTTAATTTAATTTGGAAGTAGGCCTGTCACGATAACAAATTTTGCTGGGCGATTAATTGTCTCAAAATTTATTGCGATAAACGATAATAT